AGAAGTCCATATATATGATCTCCTGCCCATACCCTTCAACAACTGAATTTTCTAACATCAATCGACATTTTTTTTTTTTTTTTTTTTAATTTCTGTATAGTGATACAAATAATTAAGCTATACAAAAGCTGCATTAGTGATACAAATAATTAAGCTATACAAAAGTGGAGACCTAATTCTAACATCAGTAGCCCTAGGCTATGTGATCAACAATCCTAATTCTGTGATAGATCTTGGCTTGCATCGGAAAGATGAGTCTTAAGCACTCATTTTTCTCGAAAAGTAAGGAAAAATTTTGAATTTACGTATATAATATTTTAATATGTGAATGTAGTTAAAAATAAATGTGTAAAAAAAAGAGTTCCAAAATAATTTTAATCATACTGGGGCTAAGCGTAGTCGAATCTTCGTACAAAATTTTTGTTCAACTGCCGTAGAATTTTAAACACACGTCCCCATAAACAAATATATTAGTAATTTTAGGTGAAGGAAATTTAAGCAAGATATTAGTTGATAAAAGGATTTTGTGAATCGCCCACTTGCAAAAGTGGACCATGGACAATATTTTGTAAGAAAACTTGGCTGCATCTTCCATGTGCAGAATCATAAATTCTACGGCTCTGATGTGGAAATAACTTTGAATTCGAATAATGTTACAACCACACACAATAATTTATTAAACCACTTCCATTTTAAATATCAAAGCCAACAACCATCCCATTAATACAAGCAACTGTATACTTTATTACATTCCTAACTTTTTTAACTACCTATTTAATTTAGTTAAAAAAAAATTTGAAAAAAAAATATAAGTTAAAATCAATAATTAATTTAATTTCGTGTTCTATGAGATCTACAATTTTTATCAATTTTTAGCAACATATATCATCAACTTTTATATTTAAATCTACTAAAAATCTTATATTTAGCAAACTCAAACGTAATACTACTAAAAAATTTATCACGTTGTTAAGAGGATTAGAAGTAGATTGAGTCCACATGTGATTTTCATATTTAATTGATGTAAGATATATTCTAATTAACATGCAATTGCAATATCTAGGTTCGTTTGATATTTCCAACATGGAATCCAATTATTCACTCGAGAAAGATTTAAATTGATTAAATCGCCCCATTTGAGCCTTTTAGACTATGATATCATGTTGAGTTTTGGGGTTCCTTCGTAAAAGGTCAATTATTTATTTATTTTTTAAATATATATATAGTTCAAACTTTTATATATTAATTATTTAGTTATTATTTTCATTTTTAACCATTTTATCTTTAGATTGAAGTGCGGCGCAGGACGATATTTCAAATTTGTTACAGTATTTGAAAATAATAAAAGAAGAAGAAAGCAAGCTTTTATGAGTGGAGAAAGGTCGAATTTTCACCACCCGTTTTGATAGAAAAAGTCAAATTTTCATTACATTTCAGTCCCCACATTTTTATTGCAGAAAGAAAAAGGGCCCTACAAGCTTCTGTTTCAATTATTATACATTTAAAAATCTCATATTTTGGTAGCAAATTATTGTGTAGAGTCTGTGTGCAAACAACATTCAACGTTGGCTTTATGTTATATTTTCATGCCGACACAAAGAAAAGAAGGCCCGTGAGATTGACCAATATATATATATATATAGAGAGAGAGAGAGAGAGAGAGAGAGATTCTTGTACGGCCGAAAGACAATCTTTATTAATTTCACATGCTGAAGCATGAAAATTACAATAATTTTCATATTAAGCTATCGGTATTATATTATAGGACTTTTTTTTTTTGACTAGTTGAGTTATCAGAGAATACGATCATCATTGTAGGTTTGTTTTAACATATCTTATCATGACTCTCATGGGGTCGTGAGTCGTGGTGGCAATGCAGAGGTGAATGGTGGTGGCAGTTTTTCTAAATTCTAAACCCAAATTGGGTTGGAGAAAATTCTTATAGTTTGTTAAGCTATATCCATATCAAGTAGAACACGTACATATATGAAGAGCTAAACTATATGATCGTTAAGAATTTGTTACTAGTCGATCATTAGTGATAATTGTGAAAATAAATGAGTCAGCATATCGATTTACGAAATATACTTCATAAATATATAATACATGTTTAAATTTTATAATAGTACCAATTAATGGATAATTTATTCACATTTAATAATTTTTACTCAATTTTTCAATTGGATCGCTATATATATATATATATATATATATATTAAAAAACCCATATATTGATATGTTTCCATTTTTATTTTATTCACCATTGTTTTCAATTAGAGTTCTAGGGGATTTTCACGGTAATATAATTTCACAAATAAGGTGGTGTTATTGACATTTCAAGCAACGCACTCGAAGAATATTACCAATTCAAAAGAATCGACTGACGAAAGGATTTTTTTTTTCTCCTATTTTTTTCATGGTGTTTTGGTAAGTATTTATCTAATTTATAGTTTTTATGTCCACGTCGCAAAAGTGGATGGAGGGATCTAAATTGAAACAACATTGAAGTGCAATGATATATTTGAACAAATTGAAATATAGTGACTTCGTTTTAATTATGTCAAGGTGTACTGACCGCAATAAGAACTTAAACGAAAACGCACAAGGGCTAAAATAGGTTTTATGGTAAGGATTAATAGACATTAGCCTGTTTTGGCCAATGTTTATAAATTGTTTATGTACGATCAAATCGCAATTTATTCACAGTACATTTCGTGAATCCAATAAAAACTACCAATTTATCCATCACTTATTCCTATCAATGCATAATTTAGACTATTATAAACAGTTGTCAAACAAGTCATTCGTTTCCACTTCTTCGTTTCGTCTTTTTTGGGGATACGATAAAAGAAAGTCAAAATTTGAAAGAAGTGATTTTATATGTATAAAATACACATAAAAAACAAATTTACATATAAGTTCTTTTGTTACCACGAAACATCACTATAATAAGATTTTTAGTAGATTAAAAATTGATGAAATGTATGGTTGAACTTTCTATTAAATATTTGATTAAAATTAATTTTTGACTTCAATTTAGATTCAAAGTTAGATTTTAATTTCTACTAAACATGGGCCTAATACTCTATTTATTGTTACTTCTACATTTTTATTCTTTAATCCTCCCTAACATGTTTGAATCAATGACACAATCTTCTTCAAATTATGTGACATTCACATATTTAATTTTATTTTTTCATATTGAACTAACATCCTTTCCTACTCGTTTTGAAATATTTCAATTTCTAGGAGATTTATAGCAATTAATTTGTTCATAAGATATCATATAAAAAATATTTAACATTCTACATAATAAAGTGTTCTATATAATATTTTAGAATAATACTATTCGTAATCGCTCACTGTGGTAGTCGCTCTATGTGGCATATACATAGCAAGTGATTATTTAATACATTAATGTGGTAGTTTTTTATTCATTAATGCATCAAATAATCACCTACCATATGTATGCCACGTAAGGCGATTGCCGCAGTGAACGACTGCAAATAGCATTATTCAATATTTTAATCTTGAGACAATAAAATTCTATTCCATTGTCAAAAAACATTTGATTTTCTCTCATGCAAAACTGACAGTACTGAATTGGATGTATGATTTTTTTTTTAAATTTTATTTCAATTTATTGTGATAGTCTCACGATATTTATAATCTTATTCTATTAAGTTGCATACATTCTATGGATGCAAAGTCATAACATATTCACAACTCAATCTAAAACTCTACATCCGTCCTATAGAGAAATGCTTTTTCCATCTTCACACAGGTTAAGAAAATGTAATGATTTAAATCATTATTTAATGTAGCAAAACATTATGATTTAAATAGGAGCAATTCATTCTTGTTGATAAACAATGTACATTAAATATGGACATATTAAAAATTGAAAAATCAAATATACACTCAACAAGAACAGTGATCTATAATTTGAAATAGATAAAAAAGAAAAAAAAGAAAAGAAAACCCATCTTTATGGTACAAAGCTTCGTGCAAATTAGAAAAATGATAAAATTATGACTCACTTTTTACATGACTATTTTAGCCATTCATACATGAATTGAAATAAATTTGAGATTTTTAATTTTTTCAAATTTGACCGACACCTTGACCAGGCGCCCTAATTATGTCACACATTATCCATAGTCAAATTTTCATATTTTCTTTAACATATTTTTTTACATTCAAATATTACTTGAATAATGTAAAAAACTAAGTATTGGAATACGTTGATTATTAGTGTACTTATTATAAAGTAAGAATAGAAAATAAGTATTGCTATTCAAGTTTAAAGGGCAAAATCTCGTGTTTATTTTAAAAGTTTAAAATATGGTATTTTAAACTTATTTTTGACGATTGATTCTTTCTAATAGAAAGCATCTTATAGTTAGAGATTCTCCTAGAAGGGCTTAAATTATGACTAAAAGTCGAAAATTAACTACGATATCAAAACATGGTGTTAGGCAAACAATTAGAAAACAAAGAAGCACATTATTGAGATCTCAAGCAAGGGTAGGTTTCTTAACTTTTCATTGTCTTCACACCTCATTTTCTTGCTTTTGTCACGATTACACCCCATTTGTATTACCCAATAAAGTAACGACAGAATTCACAGAGGAAACATGTCCGTTTACAGAATCCCAATTAATGAAATCATTACTGTTGCTCAGCCACCCTCGTTGTTATTCTCATTCTTTTTCATTCTCTTATTTTTTATCGCAATCTTCTATAAAATAAGATTACACGCAAATCAAAAATTTTTCATTTTTTTTAAATCATACATTTTTTAAAAAACAATATTCCAATTATTAAATTTCAAAAGAATGGAGGCCAAACGGGACTCATATTTTTCCATATTTTTATGAATTATTCTTCTTGTATAATCGAAGTTGACAATGTACTCACACGTGTATCTAATTATCAATCGAAATTATCAACCCGCTGTATACACAGCACAATTGTATTTTTATCCCTCAGCCCACAGAAAAATTTGTGTGTGTGTGTGTATATAGGAAGGAAAAAAGTGTGTATAAACTGTACATATATAGAGAGAGAAAGCTTTTCACTTCGAGTACTTTTACAGTTTATCACACAACACGGTACTTGACGGAGAAAATGCAGATGACCCATCACGGATGAAGAGAGAACGGAGTTGGAGAGTTCAATTTGTGAGTGAAAGATGGACTGAAAGTGAAAATCTTAGCAGCTGGATGGTTTTCATGACAACAGCTGCTAACCAAGATTCTGCAAACTAGATTTTCATCTTCATTTGTAAGTTTTGATCTTGCTTGCTTAATTTTTCCTCGTTTTTGCTTGTCAAAAAATTCGAAGATTCAATTTCTTGAAGTTTTTTAAGAGACCCATTTGCAATCATACGACTTGACTGAAATGTTTGATGTATTTGGGAATTTGAGATTCAGTAAAGTTTGATTTTTATTACAGTTTTATCAACAGATTTCATGAATCATGATTTTACAATTTCTAAATATTACATGAATCTGTTGATTTGACATACTGTAAAATTTAATTTCAGGATTTAGGAATTTGATTTGCAATCTTTTTATTCTAGATTTCTTCTTATTCTTCTCTTTACGAGAATTGTTGGCATAGAAATCTGTTCTTTTTATTTTGTGCTTTTCATTTCCTCGTTATTTGATTTAAACACATTTTTGTGTTTTTATGTAGATGGCGTCTGAAATATTTACAGTTTTCCCCCCTATTTTTGCAAATATAAGTTCATTCTCAGCGGTCAGATTTTAGCATGTGGTTGGACTTAATTTTAAAAAGTTTTGTCCCTTTATTGTGATTTCTCCTTTGCAAATTTTTCTTTGAAAAAAAGAAAAAAAGAAAAAAAAAAAACCCTTGTGTAGATAGTTGATCAATTTGTATAAGCTCACAAATTTTGTGAATTAAATGCCTTCTATTTTTAAAAAAAAAATAAATTCTTTACTCTCTCTTTAATGAATCATTGTAGGATTTTTTACTTAAATAATATCAGCACTGCTGTTTTATGAAATGATGCTACTTTTATTTTATTTTTATTTTTATTTTTTCCCCTTTTGTTTTCTATTGTCTTTGGTAGATCAAGAAGACTGCTGTATCATTTTTTCAAACTTGATGAGGTCCACTTACATTTCGAGCTTGCAATGTGAAAAAGAAATCCCAACAACGTTGTATTTACTTATCCCCTGCTGCAGGTTTTTTTTGAATATTAGCTTAGAGGCCATTCCGGTGGAATTGTATTTTCTTTTTATCTTCTGATTGGTGCCTGACTGGGCAGGTAACTTTAAATTTCACTGTTTCAATTCTATAGATCGTTATATGAAAGCATAAAGTGTTGAATTTCCAGTGAAATAATTAGCTCACTTTTGCAACATCATGTTTGTTTCTGTCATTCTGATGTCTAGGTTCAAGAAACCTGTCATAATTCGGCTGAATTTTGAATTCTTATACTGGCCTGGATCAGTTATCTGGATTATAAGGGACAAGCTTTCCCCAAGTCAAAGGCATTTGCATTTTTGTTATTTGCTGGAGTTATGGGAACTTTGTTACACTCCGAATCCAGGCGCTTGTATTCTTGGTGGTGGGACAGCCACATCAGCCCAAAGAATTCAAAATGGCTCAAAGAAAACCTTACTGGTGGGTTCTCTCTCTCTCTCTCTCTTCGTGTTTTAATATGCTACATTACAAGATGGTATTAATACATTTTTACTCTTTATTTATCTGACTTGTTCGTATAAAATAGTTTTCTGATTTGTGCTGTTAAAAAAGGTTGAACTATGTGGATTATAATCGTATTGCACACTTTTTCCCTTGACTGTCAATTGACCTTGTAAACTTCTAAAGGATTTTGGGGTAAAGGGGTTGGGGGTGCTTTTTGAGTAGAGAAGACAGGGAGGTGTATGAAACATTATTTAATCTTCCTTGTCATTATAGTGAAAATCTGCCACGTCAAGTGGTCGTAGCTCTTACATTGAAGCTGACTCAAATCTCAAACTCAAGTTGAACCACCATAAATCCGTGGATTTACTTTCCATGTTTTTTTTATAGCTCTTGGAGTTAAGGATTACAAATTTGACCCATAACAACTGTTGACTTCATCGCTTATATACAATTAAAGCAATAGATAAGAATCTCTGGATTCACAGACATATTTGTCAATCCATTAACTATAATTAGGTAATTTTTTATATTCATGATAACACGATTGGATTCAGAAATGAAGGCTGTAAGCTTCTCTTGGGGTGCATCACAGCTGCTTAAGCTTCACTTATTGTTTTGGTGGATGTTATGCTGCTTATTGCTTTCATGTGGAAGTCCGAGGCACATTGTGAGCAAAATCCAAAAGAAAGCATGCATATACAAATTTCAAAATCATACTTTTGTTGATTGACCTTCCCCATGTCAAACTTTGTCACTTTTACAAAATACTACATCTTTTCTCTGCTTGGTTTTGAGCCAATGACATCAAAATGGAAATATAAACTGTGTTTTTGGTGAACAGATATTGATGCCAAAGTGAAATCCATGATCAAGCTCATTGAAGAAGATGCTGATTCATTTGCAAGAAGGGCTGAAATGTACTATAAAAAAAGGCCCGAGTTGATGAAATTGGTGGAGGAGTTCTACCGGGCTTACCGTGCATTAGCTGAAAGATATGATCATGCAACTGGAGAACTCCGACATGCCCATCGAACCATAGCCGAGGCATTTCCGGATCAATTATCTCATGAAGTGGTTGAAGATTCACCTTCAAAATCTGTGGGACAAGATATGGAGCCCCATACACCAGAAATTAAACGTTCACTGCGTGCATTAGTTGATCTACATGGCGTGGATGTACCTCATATGGGAGAAATTGAAGGGGGGATTAGTAATATAGGTTTGAGACAATTCCATGAGATTTTCTCGGGGAAAGAAACTGACACAAAAAATCGAAGGTATGCTGAAGGAAGAGTAAAGAGAGGTTTGAATGTGGAAAAAGAAAGAAAAGAAGGCATTAACGATGAAGTGCTCCACTTGTCAAATGAAAATCAGAATCTCAAAGAGAAGGTTCTTTCTGAGTCCACTAGAGCTGGAAAAGCGGAAAATGAAGTTCAAGGACTGAAGAAAGCGCTTGCTGATATGCAAGGTGAAATGGAAGATGTCTTTCTTAAGTATCGAAGGTGTCTAGAAAAACTATCTAGTCTTGAGGGAGAGCTTGATTATGCAAAAAATAATTCTATGCAGCTCGATAAAAGAGCAAGTATGGCCGAAATTGAAGTTCAAACATTGAAGGAAGCCCTTATGCAGTTAGAGGCTGAAAGGGACACTGCTTTAGTCGAACAAAAGGAGTACTTGAAGAAGATATCTAATCTGGAGGCTATGGCTTTACAAACCCAAGAAGATATGAGGGAACGAGCAATTAAAGCTGAAAATGAAGCTCAAACTCTAAAAAATGAAATTTCAGCGTTGAAGTTTGAAAAAGAAACTGCATATCATCAGTACGAACGGTGTCTTGGAAAAATATCAGATTTGGAGAGCACAATTGCTAAGGCTGAGGAGGAAGCCCAATCCCTTAAGAAACAAGCAGAAAGAGCTGAAGCTGAAGTCACTGAACTGAGAAAAGGTCTTGCTAAGCTAAAGGAGGAGAAAGAAGCTATTGCCTTCTTGTACAAGTGCTGCCTGGAGACCGTATCAAAGCTTGAGCGTGATATAAGTCTTGCCAAAGAGGAATGCAATCGCCTTAAGAGTGAAGTTCTTAATGGAACAGAAAAGCTCAAGAATGCAGAAGAGAAGTGTTTTCTGTTGGAATCGTCGAATCAGTCACTATGTTTTGAGGCAAAAAATTTGGCAGAGATGATTGCAATGAAAGATCAAGAACTTTCTGAGAAGGAGGAGGAGTTGGAGAAACTTCAGGCTCGACTTCTAGACGAGCACTTACGTTATGCCCAAATTGAAGCCACTCTCCAGACTCTACAAAGTTTGCACTCACAATCACAAGAAGACCAGAAGGCTCTGGCACTGGAGCTCAAGAATGGTTTACAAATGCTGAAGGACTTGGAAATATGCAAACATGGCTTGGAAGAAGAAATTAGGCAGGTTAAGGATGAAAATCATAGCTTGAGTCAAATGAAATTATCTTCAACTGTTTCAATGGAGAATATGCAAACTGAAATCCTTAACTTAAGGGAGATGAAGGAGAGGCTTGAACAAGAGGTTTCCCACCAAATGACGAAAAGTAATTCGCTTCTGCAGGAAACTTTGTGTTTGAAAGAGGAAGTGAAAGGCTTAAACAGTACATACCAGGCTTTAGTCGAGCAAGTGGAAGCAGCAGGGCTGAACCAAAACTGTATTGGAACTTCAATAAAGAGCTTTCAGGATGAAAACTCTAGGCTGAGACAACTGCGTGAGCAGGAAAGCAATGAGAAAGAAGCATTGTTGAAGAAGTTGGAAAACATGGAAGAACTTTTGAAGAAAAAGGCTGCTGCTGAGAGCTCCCTGTCAGACACAAATGGTGAGCTTGAAAGATCCCGTGAAAAGGTGAAGTCATTGCAAGAATCTTGCCAATTTCTCCATGGAGAGAAGTCTGCCCTAGTTGCTGAGAAAGCTTCTATTCTTTCTCAGATGAATGCTGTTACTGAGAACACGCATAAGCTATTGGAGAAAAATGCTGTTTTGGAGAACTCTCTGTCGACTGCAAAGGTTGAACTTGAAGGTTTGAGGGAAAAGTCAAAGGGCTTAGAAGAGATTTGTCAATTGCTTAAGGA